ACACACACACACACACACACACACACACACACACACACACACACACACACACACACACTCCAGGTGGAGCCACTTGTGTCAGCAGAGGGTCAATGTCTAGTGTCACATACTTTCAATGGAGGGAATAAACTCGTCTAATAAACCAGAGTCTGCGTGGAAACGTTTTTCTCTGTTAGAAAAATCATAACGTCTGACCCCTGACAGCAGCCCCCCCCCCCCCCCCAGCTCCTGCAGCACCGTGCACGAGCGTGTGGGTGAAAACCTCACAGGTTTACCTGCTGACGGTTTCGATTCGGTGGAGTTTGGATTAAAGCTCCACCGGTTTCAGTCAGGTCAACATGAACGAAGCCCGTGTTCACACTAATGTGGATATTTTGCAAAACAAACTTTTCCCTCTGAGCCTCTCGTTCACAGATGTTTCACCGATGCTCTGCGTAATGAACCGTGATGCAGCGGGTGACTCAACTCACTGAGCAATTCATTTAAATTAATCAATTAATATTAATGAAAAACGTATATAAAATGAAGAAAATATAATTGAAATATTAATCGTTTCAAACCATTGTTTGCTCATTGTGGGAACAGTTGGTTTCTTCCATGTTAAGTCCCTTGAGATAATGTTCACTATGATTTGGTGCTATTCAAAGTTTCTGGACAAAGAACTTTTCAATACAGAAGAGAAAGTTGAAATTTGACACTAAGTCAACGACAACAACGTGATCTCAGATCAGCTCAGAATGAAGGTTCTAGTGAGGGAGCAAGTTTAAAACAGACAAAATCACCAGTGTGTGTGTGTGTGTGTGTGTGTGTGTGTGTGTGTGTGTGTGTGTGTGTGTGTGTGTGTGTGTGTGTGTTGGCAAGATGCCAGAAACAAATGAAGTTGTGTCATCCGACCAGTCGTTGCGCGTCGGTATCACATCACACAAACACACACAAACACACACACACAGAGGGAAACATCCTCTTGTGTTTTTTTGGGGGTTTTACGCCCGATGGCACAAACCACCAGTGGAATACAAATCCTCCAAATACACAACATCAAGTAAAATGTGTGAAAAATACACACTGAGCTTTTAAAGGTTTTTCAGGTTTCACGGTTTAAACCTTAAATTCCAAATGTTTCAGTTCAGTTCAGAATAAAACTATCACAAATTCATCCACCGATTCTGACAAGCAGACAATGATCCTCCTTCTTCTTCACTGTCCTCGCTTCTCAAATTAGTGCAGCATTGTATGTGTTGAAAACACACACACACACACACACACACACACACACAAGCGGGCACATCACAAAGTTCCCTTAAACCTGCACATGCAAAATTCATGTGGCCTACAAAGGCAGCTTTGATAACAAAAAAAACGAAGCTTCAAAGAATTTTCAAAAGCTTCAATCTCTTCCTCCTATCCAGCGGCCTGTGTGCACAGAAATAGAGCCGTGCTTTCAAGTCGGGGGGGAAATAATTAGGGTTGCAGCGTGAGAAATCAGCACTGGAAGTCAAAGTTACACAGCCCCCCCCCCTCCTCACATGATGGAGAGTGTTTTCATTTTTTTAAAGGGTCAGTCCGTCACTAACGTAGCTCCGGCAGAGCAGAGGCCGGCGGACAGTGGAGGACGTCCGTCCCGCGATTGGACAGCATGAGATCGAGGATGCGACTGGACCAATGAGGAGATGAGGGGACGTGAGACAAAGTCTCGGTCGAGCCACGGGCAAAAAAAAAAAAAAAAAA